GCCATCCAACTCCAGATTACACCTCTTTCACCTGTCGATGTCCTAGCGGTTGGGAAGGTATGTGTTCGTCGGCATGCATTTGTGTGTGTGCTTGATGATGGCTGTCAGCCGTAATATTAGAACTACATTCCAATTGTTTTTGCTTTTTGTGTTTTTGTCCACACTTGCGTAGGTGCGCTTTGCAATGATGATGTAAACGAATGCAAGAACAACCCTTGCAGAAACAGCGGTTGGTGCATAAACAGCCTGGGGAGCTACATGTGTAACTGTCTGTCTGGCTACAGTGGACACAACTGCCAGATAAACATTGACGACTGCTCACCGAGTGAGTTTAATTTGGTCACTTTATTGTCTTTGGATCCAATATCATCGTAACTTCCACCAGTCTTTTATTTAATTTAATGACGTTTAAAATAAATAACCATCAGCGGTTATTTAATAATAGCTCATAAAAGCCAAAGGTGCTCATACAGTTTGAGCCGTGCTCAGATGTGTGCTTGTTTATTCAGTAACTGGTTTAGTGAGCCTGTTCCTCCTCTCGTCTGTGTTCTGCAGACCCGTGTCTGAATGGAGGCTCTTGTAGGGACGAAGTCGGGAGTTTCGTCTGTGACTGTCGCCCAGGTTTTGAGGGAAAGCGCTGTGACGTTGAGATTAACGAGTGTGCCAGCCATCCCTGCAGAAACGGCGCCTCCTGCGAGGATTACGTCAACAGCTTTGTATGCAAGTGCCGACCCGGCTTTAACGGCATACTGTGTGAAAACAACATCCCCGAGTGTACTGAAAGGTAAGCGCCCTGTCGACACGAGAGATGCTGTCTCCCAATATGTGCGACCTGAGTACGAATACATACATATTTCTGCATCAGTAGATTTTAAAGACTTTCCCCGCCTAAAGCCCTGTTTTCTTTTTCTTCCTCCGTCCAGCTCGTGCCTCAATAACGGGTCTTGCATTGATGACATCGGTAAATTTACCTGCCGTTGTCATCCGGGTTTTTACGGTGAATTCTGCGAGTATGAGAAGAACGAGTGCGACTCTCAGCCCTGCAAGAACGGAGGCACTTGCACTGACGGTCTGGGTACCTACCGCTGCACCTGTCCCATGGCATACAGTGGACAGAACTGCCAGGTAAGTGTGCAGTGTGGGTCTGCATAATTCTGTAATTCCTTTGTAGGTACAAGGAGAGTTGACACATTTTAAAAGGCTAATGGGGTGTTGTCATTACCCCGCTGGGGTGCAGCGTTGACACCAAGTTTGTGAATGTGATAACTTGAGAACGAAGCTATTGGTGCCATTGGTGCATCTACTTGGAGGCTGCTTCATTGCTTTCTGTAGAGCCACGACAGGCGGCCTCGTGCACTCAGATCTCTCATATTTGCTGTCTTGTTTTAAACAGTCGATGTCATCGAAGGGGCTGTGAGTTGTGCTGGTTTGTTTTTATGAAATGTTTTCAAAACCTTCTTTTTGTATGCAGAACTATGTGAACCTGTGCAGCCAGGTGCGCTGCCATAATGGTGGCTCCTGCTCACAGACAGCAACTTCCTGGACCTGCCACTGTCAGCCTGGATGGTATGGACGTTACTGTGATGTGCCCAACCAGTCGTGCCAGGATTTTGCCGCCAGGAAAGGTGAGGAAGTATTTTTTTGGCAGAGATATCAAGAGTGATAATGACCTACTGTTTATATTATTGCAAGGAAAATTTAAAATACTAAATGTAGCCCGAGGATTTTGTTACCTTCCTGCTTACAGTTTAATCACTGTAGTAGGCTGCCTCTGTACACGGTAAACTCATCATATGTGTTTGGCTGCAGGTCTGCAGTTGGAGAATGTATGCAAGAATGCTGGCCGGTGTGAGAATGTGGGAAATGCCCACAAGTGCCACTGCCAGCCAGGATACACAGGCAGCTACTGTGAAGACATGGTCGACGAGTGTCAGTCAAACCCTTGTCGCAACGGTGCTACATGCAAGGACTATCAGGGAACGTATGAATGCATAGTAAGTGCACTCTCAGCTTGATATGTGTGCATGTGTTGGCAGGTTTTATGTTTAGGTTCTATATGCAAACAACTGAGCTAACCTCTGTGTTTTGTTTCATTGTCCCAGTGTAAACCAGGCTACCAGGGGGTGAACTGCGAGTATGATGTGGACGAATGCCACTCAAAGCCCTGTCTAAACGGAGGAACATGCATCAACCTCATCAATCACTTTAAGTGCGCTTGCCCACCTGGAACACACGGTACGTGCACATAATAGGAGATTAGTTTAACAGCTGAGGAAGCTTTAAACTTAAAGTATGGACAGAAAGTGATGCTAATGTTTGAGGATAACCTTTCCTGCTTCTTTAGTTGTTCTTGACGTGGGAAAGGAAATGTTGATTGGATGTTGTACTTTTCAAAAAAAGTTTCTTTTGTTGGATCTAAAAATAAAACTGAGTGCAAGTTAAATGCTGTCTGTTCTGTATGTCGTAGGACTCCAGTGTGAATTTAACGTGGATGACTGTGCCCCCAAGCCTGGCTCTCTGGAGCCTCTCTGTAAGAATGGAGGACAATGTGAAGACGGTGTGGGCGGTTACAAGTGCAACTGCCCGGCGGGGTTCACTGGTGACCACTGCGAGGGGGATCTGAACGAATGCAAGACTCGACCCTGCCACAGTCACGGCAGCCTTGACTGCATCCAGTTGGTCGATAACTACCAGTGCCGCTGTCGCCTTGGTTACACGGGTATTTTCACATTAACCTCTGAAAACAACACAACAGCACCACAAGTAATTTTTGCTGTTTTTTTTAAAAAGGGGACGAAATGTGTTTGTTTCCTCAGGTCGTCATTGTGAATCCATGGTGGATCTCTGTCTGTCCAGTCCGTGCCGCAACGGAGGCGTCTGCTCTATGAACATGAGCTCGGTGCACGGCTACAGCTGTTCTTGTCCTCGTGTAAGTTCTCTTTAAAGCTGGCTGTTTTCTAATGTAAGCGATCTCCTCTTTATCCCTCATACGGCCTTTGCAGCTCTTGTTATTTGCCCGTTGTGCTCATCAGCTTTTAATAACTACTGGTTTCATTCTTATTCCTTAAACACTCCTCCATGAGTTTGTCCTGTAAGTGCTGGTGATAACAGCAAATGGAAAATGGCAGGCAGCCATAAGGCTAGAGTAAGACGAGCCTTCTTTGTTTTTAATAAAGAAATCCAGATATTTCTTTGATTATGCAGAAAGCAGCAGGGAACAGTAAAAGGCAAAGGGGGTTACCTCCATTCAGCTTCTGAAACTGATCCAGTGTAGAAAATGAATAATGGGATGAATTACTCATGATAGTGGTGAGATGCTGTGTTTGTAAAGATGACTCAACTTCATGTTTCACTCTACATGCTCTTCATTTCACACACCAGCAGGAACATAATACAGCCTGTTTTTCCAGAAATGTAACCACAGGCTACAGATCAGTTATTCTACACATATATAAGTATTGCTGTACTTGGATGAGCAGGGTGAGGGATGACACTGTCACATTTCATAAGCTAGTTTGTCTAAAAAAAAAAAAAAAGCCTATAAAAACATATAAATGTTAATGATTGTCTTTGATTATGCTGCCGTGTAGCTACGGCCACGGCAACTGTCACATCTGTGGCGTGTAGCATAACAGCAGGTTGGCTGTTTGTCGTTCTTCTGCCTGAACGTCAGTGCGTGCTTTTTCTCTGCACTAACCTCTTGCTCCCTGTCTGTTCTCATGCTTGCTTCAGAGGGCCACACCATGGCTCAGGTACAGTAGAGTAGCAACAGTCTTGTAGGAGAAACTAAATGCTTGTTGTAAAAGTTTGCCTGATAAAGTAATATCTACTGCCTTACTATCACACCTAAACAGCATGTTGTGTTTTATAGGGCTATACCGGGTTGGACTGTGGGGAAATGCAGGACTGTGCAAAACAAGGATGCCAGAATGGCGGGCAGTGTGTGAAGATAGCGTCCGGCCATCTGTATTGTCAGTGCAGGTCGGGCTTCAGCGGGCCACACTGCGAGGTGAGATGTCCGTTGCCCTGCCAAAATGGAGGAACCTGCGTGAAAGACCAGGCATACCCGTTCCAGTTGAGCTGCCACTGCCCGCTCTACTTTTCCGGACGATACTGCGAGAACAGACAGATTACGCCGACGCCCCGGAGTTGTCCGTACGAAGACTGTGAAAGGCAAGCAGGAGACAACGTTTGTGACGATCTGTGTAACAACCATGAATGTCGGTGGGACGGAGGGGACTGCTCGCTTCAGAGGGAGCCGTGGACAAACTGCAAGGCCTCTGTTCCCTGCTGGGATCTCTTTAAGAACGGGCGCTGCGATAAGGAGTGTGACAACCCCGGCTGCCTCTTTGACAGCTTTGAGTGCCAAATAACCTCAAACTCCTCCTGCAAGTATGTGACTCTCCCCTTGACTCTTCTGTAAACATGTGTTTAAAATCAAATCCTTACCTCTTGTTCTTGATTGTGATTTCTATGTAAGGTACGACCGGTACTGCGCGGACCACTATGGTAATAAAATCTGCGACCCGAGCTGCAATACGGAGGCTTGCAGTTGGGACGGCCTGGACTGTTCTGACATTCCTGCCAATTTTGCGGGCGGCACACTGGTTCTCGTGGTCCGCCTGCAGCCTAAGGAGCTGCTGGGAGACCTGAGGGGCTTCTTGCGCTACCTAGGAGCTCTGCTGCACACCAACGTTCAGGTGAAGCTGAACGAAAACAACGAACCAATGGTTCTGCCGTACTTCGGAGCACCAAAGGGACTGGGACAACATGCCCAGAGAAGCAAGCGGGAGCTGCACAAGGAGGTTATTGGGTAAGGATACGACAGACGCGTAATTTCTTGTCTGTGCATTTCTTTGCCAAATGAATCACAAATTTCTTGCTTACCGGCGACTGAATTTCACTTTTAATTGCACAGCTCCGAGGTGCACCTGGAAATAGATAACCGCAAATGTTCCCAGAGCCCCTCTCACTGTTTTTCAAGCACAGAAGAAGTCGCTTCCTTCATTGCAGCAGCCCACATCAAGGCTGACCTCCCTTACCCTCTAGTGTCTGTTGACAGTAAGTAAATCTGTCATTCAGAAATGAATGGAATATAAGTGCTTTATATCCATTTTCAAACTAAAACCTCTGTATTTACACTTGTCTTTGTACCATTCAGGCATTTCTTCCCCACCTCCACCTCCACCTCCACCACTGATGTTTCTGATTGGAGTGGCAGTGGTTGTTATTCTGCTCATCCTGGTGCTCGGGATGCTAGCAGCCAAAAGGAAACACAAACACGGCGTCCTGTGGCTGCCTGACGGCTTCATGGCTGCTACAAATGACAAGAGGAGAGAGCCTGTTGGACAGGATGATTTTGATATGAAGTGAGTTCACGTACAAATGAACACCGTGTGCGTAAAACAAGGTGGAGAGGTTGAGTGTGCTCAGGTGAAATATATGCTGTAATGCAAGAAGGTTGTTGTTGAAATGACCGCAATGAGCTTTCAGGGGACCATAGAGTATGACACAGATACAAGCAGGATGAGAGTCATTGTCTTCAAAGCTGCTTTTGTTTCTATATCAGGAATTTTAAGACTGATGGAAGCATGATTGATGGAAGTCAGAGTCAGAGATGGCTGGAAGACGAGGCTCCATCCAAGAAACCGAGAGTAAGTGAACAATAAAGACGTTTGGCGCATACGGAAAGGCTTTGGTCATTGTGAGTTTCACTCTGAGATCTGTTGCTTTTTATAGACTGAAGACAAGCCCTTGCTGCCCATCGCTCTGGACGGAGGTGTAGATCGAAGAGAGTGGACCCTGCAGCATCGCAAAGCTGCTGACATCAGCCTCACTCCTCCTCAGGCCGACCTGGACACTGATTGTCTGGACGTTAATGTGAAGGGACCCGGTAGGGGGACAAAAACCTTTAGATTTGATAATTTTTCAAAAATCTGTCTCGCTAATGAATCTTCACTCTTTCAGACGGCTTCACGCCGCTGATGCTGGCATCGCTGCGCAGTGCCGCCCCGGACTGCAGCCTGCATGGAGAAGAGGAGGAAGAGAGCGGAGATGAACCGGGACCGAGCGTCATCTCGGACCTGATCTCTCAGGGCGCGTCTTTGATTGCTCAGACCGATCGTACCGGAGAAACCGCTCTTCACCTGGCTGCCCGCTACGCCAGGGCCGACGCCGCTAAGAGGCTGCTGGACGCCGGAGCAGATCCAAATGCCCACGACAACATGGGGAGGACACCGCTGCACGCTGCTGTGGCGGCTGACGCTCAGGGAGTCTTTCAGGTGAGACGCCTCTGCGATCTGGTGCAGATCAGTGTGACGGCCAGTCGCGTTTTGTTCACTGTGTCTTTGCACCCTTTCAGATTCTAATCCGTAACCGTGCAACGGAGCTGGACGCCAGAATGAATGATGGCACAACTCCACTGATCCTGGCGGCCAGGCTGGCTGTGGAGGGCATGGTGGAAGAGCTGATCCACTGCCACGCTGACATCAACGCTGTGGACGACCACGGTCAGAAAACTAATCCTCTTCTTTGTCTGAAGCTTTTCGTATTTAATGTGTGAATAAATTCATTAAAGGATGTGAGTTTTAATGTAGTATGTTAGCAGGACAAGCACACAGGGACTTGCTGCGTTTACATTATTAGCTGTAATTTTAGCAGTAATAATAGTTTTCTAGCTAATGCGGCTCTGGTTCTTCTCTCATCTTCCCATCATTTTAGGTAAATCTGCTCTGCACTGGGCAGCTGCAGTCAATAATGTGGAGGCCACACTTGTGCTTTTAAAGAACGGAGCCAATCGTGACATGCAAGACAATAAGGTGAGATGTTTTGTTTTCATGTGCTGATTATAAATCACAACAAACACAAGGACAGTTATGAAATAGAGCTGTAAAGAAAAAATATCAGACTTTATTTGCAGAAACATATTTTCTCCCTAATATCTGTCAAAGATTTCAAAAGCTGCTCCGTGTTTGTTGTGTCGGCTGTGGGACACACCCTGTATGGGTTAAACTGACCGTGTAAACAAACTGTGGATCTGGTCCTGCTTTTCCTGTTTGTTCGTATTAAAATAGGAGCTCCTTACGCTGTGCTTACCGCTCCCTTTGCTTCTTTCAGGAGGAGACCCCGTTGTTTCTTGCAGCCCGGGAAGGCAGCTTCGAGGCGGCACAGGTTCTCCTCGACCACTACTCCAACCGCGACATCACTGATCATCTGGATCGGCTTCCCCGCGATACGGCTCAAGAACGCATGCACCACGACATCGTCCGTCTCCTGGATCAGTACAATCTGGTTCACAGTCCCCACAATGGGCCTAATCATATGGGTGGAGGAGGAAACTCATCTGTTATGTGTGGAGCAAATGGAGCAGGCTACATTGGCATGCGCCCTGGACCACAGGGGAAGAAGAGCAGGAGGGGCGGGGGCACAAAAGTAGGAGGTGTTGGTGGAGGGCCCAAAGAAATGAAAGACATGAAGGCTAAGAGAAGGAAGAAGCCTGCAGGAGGAGATGGGGCAGCTGTAAGTGCTGGGGTGGGAGCAGGAAATGGAGGAGGCACGGCAGCAGGAAGCACCAATGGCGTGAAGGCAGCAGGAGGCCTTCCAGAGAGCTCCGTCACCATGTCGCCCGTCGACTCCTTGGAGTCTCCTCACTCCTACGCAGGCGACGTTTCCACTGCCGTCTCCACCACGGCAAACTCCCCGCCCCTGCTGAGCAGCCCCACCTCCAGACAGATGCTGCCCCCTGTCAGCCACATGTTGGGACAGCAGCAGACCTGGGTGAGCATGAACAAACACGGATACAGCCCCATGTTCAGCCTGGTTCCTCATCAGATTCCGGGATCCCACCCCGGCATGGCCCAGCACCACGGCCAGGGTTGCAGCGTCGGGCTGACCCCCATGAACGTCACCGTGACCAGGGAGCAGCTGCCACCCATCGTCACCTTCCAGATGATGACTCCCGGAGCAGGCCAGACCATGCTGAAGCAGCCTCAGCAGGGGCAGGTGCAAGTCACGCAGTCCCAGGGTCAGAACCAGACTCAGAGTCACTCCCAGCAGGCTCCGGGGCACCTCCACTGCACCCCGGGGATGATATACCAGATCTCTGATCAGATGGCCATGGCTCACGGGCTCCCTCACACCCTGCAGCACCCACACACTGTCGGCCACGGAGGCCACGCAGGGATCGAGGGCCAGTCTCGGGCTCTGCCCTCATACCCGACCATGCAGAGCCCGGTGGATAAATACCCAACGCCTCCATCGCAGCACAGCTACACCACAGCGGGCTCGGAGGGCACCACGCCCAGCCACTCTGCCCACCCGCCCAGCGAGCACCCGTATCTCACCCCCTCGCCGGAATCCCCCGACCCCTGGTCCTCCTCTTCCCCGCACTCCAACTCGGACTGGTCCGACGTCACCACCAGCCCCACCCCTCTGGGGAACTCCCACCACACACTGCCGTCATCACACCACACACACATTCCAGAGCAGGTGCAGCTGCAGCCGCAGTCGCAGCAGATGCCGCAAGCGTCTCAGCAGCCTCAGCTCGGAAACATGCAGGTGTTTGCGTAGGCGGAAGAGGAAGAAAGCAGAAACCGACTGACTTTGGGGCTTCTGTGTACTCATAGTAACACAATCAGTACGTTCTCACGTCTGTCTTTAATCCCTTATTCTTCTATAATAATCAATCACCTCTTATGTTATCTTCTCTTTGTACTTCAGAAGACTGTGTATAGTTTCTTAAACATTTTTGAGTAAAAGTCTTTTGGAGTTTTTCTCTGATCGAGTTCTTCTAAGTCCAGTGAGGCAGCCTTTGCTCTCTGCTGGCTGGATCAAGACTTTTCATGTTTTGGCACCAAACACATAAACTGATCATCGAGGAGCTTCTGACCAGCTGGTGCGGGATTAAAAAAAGACCGGCGAGAAAAGACTGGGCACTTCCTGCATTGAGATCGTCCGTCTCTGTTCAGTGTAATAAACCTGCCAGTACTAACACCTCATTGAAACCATTCACTTTAATACGATGGGTCATATTCAGTGGATATTTTTACTCTCAAAGGAAAACCACGTTTGTTGCATTCGTGCTTTCGCTGGGTTAAAGGGGAGCGGCACTGAGAGGCTGCTGTACGATCAGAAAAAACAACAAGTGCATGTAGCAAACGCACGGCGAGGCCTGCTGGGCGGTGCTGCATGGGTCTGCGCTTGTCATGTGAAAGTTTTCAAAGTATTTCAGAGGTTTGATGAAAGTAACATCTGCTAAACATCAAATATCTGCCTGCACACTTCAAAAGGTCAGAAAATGGAGCTCCACCTGCACGCTATCGCTGCAGTCCTCGGGTGGTGTAATGAGAGTGTGCGGTTGTCTCTCTGCAGGTGGTACAGCTGTATTTGAGTAATTAATACTGAAAAGCGTACATTAGTTTGTCACCAGATTCAGTATGTTGTATATGAAAATGTACAGACACTCCGAGCATCTTCTGCTCGTTATATCTGAGCTTAGCATGTCTTTTGTTTTGTTTTTATATGAATACGGTGCACACTTCCTGTATAATTCTGAATCTCGCCGAGGCAAATCGCCACGTCTTTAAAGTGCCTCTGTTATAAATAGCGTCTCTTCCAAAGTTATATAACCATAGCTACAATCATTGCGTCTCCGCACCTCTAACGGTCGTAAATCGTGCGTAGAAGGAGAAAGTCACTTGTCTTCTTTCTTAAGGTCGATGTTGAGCTTTTATGTGGCTGCTGTGTTTAAAACAAAAAAGGACAATCGTTCAGCGTTCAGAAAAATCTCACATACCAAATTTTGTTTTATTCAGCCAAAAATATGAAACCTGTGTCCAAACTTGTCATTTGTTGTTCTTGTTTGAAAAGTCAGACACACAAAAGCTGCACCTTTCTGCAGAGTTGTATTTGTAGACCCAGCCTGAAAACTCCCCAAATCCACGTTTGTACGAATGTAGGGGCGCTCAGGCATCAGATAACTTTTTTTTTGTATGAATCACAGCAGCTCCAGTGCATATGCAAGGTTATGAGGTCATGTCTATATTCTGTATATAAAATGTTTTTTTTAAGTTTACTGTACTCTTCTCTGTTAACCAAATAGCCCGTAATATACCTGCAATATGAAGTAGTTGTTACCGTGTTTGTGTGTTGTAGAACTAAAACTGATCAAATCTGTTGGATTAAAAAAACAAAACAAATGATCGAACGAATGCTTTACTGAAATAAAGCCAAGATCTCCACACACACGAGTGCACGTGCTGTCTTGTCCTGGAGCATCTTCGTGTCTCGGCAGGTTTTTACAGGTGTGTCATTTGCAGGTGGATTTTTTTTTTAGGGCCTCCATGTTAGACCTGGTAGATGTAGCATCGTGTTTTTCGCTCTGCCTGGTAAATCTGCCATTTCTGAAGGTTAAACTTGAGTCAGAGGCTTTATTGTTTTGTCCTAATCGATTCAGGCTTCATCTGCATGAATCCTCTTGGTAAGCGGTAAATGGATGCTATTCATATAACACATTTCTGCTCCTACTGAGCACTTAAAGCCACGTGTATACAGTGCTTTTCTTTATGCACACATGGATGCTCTTTAATCCCTCCTCAGACGCACAGTGCAGACGTTGTACTGCCAATAAAGCACAAAGGTTTGAACAGTGCCTGGGATTTGGATAGAGTATTTTCATATAATTCACATGTATTTATGTACTGTTGCATCACTACATAAATACACCAAAGAAGCCAAACTGAGTCATTTCTGTCCTTTAAATCTGCATTTGAAACTACAGCAGTGTCTCTGGGTACTGCTCTGCAGGTCAAAGGCAGGGAAGTGGACATGCAATGCCTACAGATAATTAAGTTATAATACTTTTGCTTTTTACAGTTACACAGATCGATTGAAAACACGATTGCATGTAAATGAGGCATTTGTGAAATGCTCATAAACAGGGCCCCAAACATCAGATAATAAACACAAAATACAGCATTTTGAATTTTATATAACCAGGAAGAACAAAAAGACTTTATGCACAAATCCATGCAACAAGTACAAGATATGAAAATAAAACACAGAAACAATCAAAATGTGTAAGCTGCACTGTCAATAAAGGATGAATACCTTAAACAAAAGAAATATTAACACGGCCTGAAGTTACTGCATCCAAGTCATCTATAATCACCTTACATTCCTGAAGTTTTAGTTGACTGCAGATTATTCGAGGAAGGCGCTGCAAACCTGAATTCAGTGCGAACCTTTGGGACAGATGAGTGAATCCTGGGACTTTGTAACTTCCAACATTTCTCTGCTGAATGCAAACCAAGAATAGGCTTTTAAATAAGAAGATCTCAGTGGTGGTGACATAATCACTGGTGTAAAGACAGATTTAGAGAGCCTGCAGAGGTCTGTGGACGTCTGTAGGTCACAGTAAAACTTGTAAGATATTAAGTGTGTATTTCTTTTCCTCTGTGTTATACGTCTGTCTCTCCGTGTGGCATTTGCATGTCTGTGTGGGTTCTCTGGCTTCCTCAGACCAACTGCATGTCAGTCCAGACGTGCAGTCGGGAGGTTATGTGAAATGCACTCGCTTTCTGCATGTTCCTTTATGGCTTACAGACACACACACTAACTCATACCCTACCACACTTAAACACACAGACACGCACCAAATCTCGTCCAGGAGATACATTACTGTCAGGAGTCTTTTTGCTTCCTACTAATGTAAGAATCCTTCCAAGGAGACAGATTAAATTCTATTACATGCCTCAGTGTGTTTCTATGTATATACTGTAGTTTATTTCATTGGTAGCCTGTCCAGGATGTACCTGGCCTCTCACCCTATGGCAGCTGGGATAGGCTCCAGCCCACCTCCGCGACCCTGAAATGCACTATAAATGGTCAGGCATTGAGAAAAATGTTCCATCTCATTAACTTCAGAAGTTTAAAACCTTTACTGAAAATGCAAATCGTTTAAATGCATAATAATAATAATAATAATAATAGAGTCAGATATTTTCTGTTTGGAGTTTTCTCCCGTTTATCCTGCCGAGGTGCTGTTCCGTGTCAGCCCAGCAGGAGGCAGAGTCTCACACGAACCCGAAAACGACGAGAACACGAAGAAGAGTTGCTAACGCGGAAGTCGTCCGGGATCTTATCTTCACCTGGCTGGAGTTTTGTTCCCCGTGCAATTTACTCTTTCCTCTGGTGGACGTTTTAAGCGGGATGGCGGGTCGTGATGCATTGGTCGGTGCGAGCGTGCTGAAAAGTTAACGGGCGGTTGATATCCGGTGCGGGTCAATGGACGCCAGGACCTGAGCTGCTGTTTTGACAGCTGTGGTGATCCGCCAGCACCGTGTCCATCTGTCCGTGTGAGGAGCCGCAGAGAGCGGACAGCGCAAGACCGAACTGAGCGTCTGCAAAGTTACTGGTGAGCGGACCGAAAGGTGAGACCAACCGTCGGCATTTCCCACCGCCTCGGAGTAAAACACCTGCTCCTGTTCTTGCACCCCCCGGCTCTGTTCTCCTCTGCTCATCTTCAGTCTCCAGCTGCTCGCCGAAACGTGGCCATGGCTTCTCCCCGGCTCAAGTACCTCTCACTGGGTGTGCTGGTGTTCCAGACCACCTCCCTGGTGCTCACCATGCGTTACTCCCGCACCCTGCAGGCCGAGGGCCCGCGGTACCTGGCCTCATCAGCGGTGGTGGTGGCCGAGGTCATGAAGATCCTCACCTGCGTCCTGCTGGTCTTCAAGGAGCACAGTGAGTCCGTGTACACAGCTCCCGGCACCGGTCCTGTCATGTGTGATAAACTTTAGGCCACAGTGAAGTGTTATAAATGCTCAAACAAGTCCAGCTGGATGTGAGCAGGAACCATCACGGTGCCGTCTGAGGTCTGGCTTCTTTGATCTGTAAAGCACAAATCATGCTGGGCTTGTTGTTTAATCCCAGAACATGAAAGATGATTTAAATGTTAAATATGCTTGTGGCTGAGCAGCTCCTGCAGCAGGAAGGCAGTTCAAACTGATCCAGTGATCCAGGACCAGCACTGTGAATGCTTGTGACTAAAGTGATTTTTATCTTATTTCAGCTTCAGTTCTGTGTTTGTTAATAACGTCACCTGTTCAGAGTTTACTGATGTTTTCTTCATCAGAGGTCATTTTTTCCCGATTACCTGAGAGGTTCTGTTTCTGAGGTAATCAGGATGAATTCTGAGAACTTTCACTAAAACTACAGAAAACAGGGATTCGCACGTCCATGTGAGCTTCCTGATTGGATATCATTAGTCCAAAAAAACAAAACAAAAAACAACCCTCTAGCTGGGCTGTCGTGTCTTGTTATTTTATCTTCCACCCGTGGGTCTTCGTTTCCCTGTGCCTTGCTTCGCTCCGGTGCCGTATTTGCTTTGTGTCTGGGTTTTCTGTCGTGACTGCCTCACACGTGCTGTTGATCTTTGTCTCTTTGCAGAGTTTCAAACATCTCGTGTGCACAATGGTCACGTGATACTCGTTTACAGGCCTCTTATTTCAGACAGAGTCTTTTTAACACGACTGAGACTGAGAGTCCTGCTTTAAATTGGAAATGTGTCAGTGTGCGTGCAGCCTGAGGATTTGCAGTCAGGTTTGGTGGACTGTTCCAGACGTGCTGAAACTACAGTTGGTGGGTTTTCTGGATCAGTGAGGCTCAGAATTCGTTTTTGGCTAATAGCAGTCTTTTTTTCTAAAAACTGAAAAGTACTTCATTCACTGATCAGCAAATACAGATGTTTTTAGACACAGTCTGTTTTCAGAGGCTCGGAAGTAGGGCTGCCACAAACGATTATTTTGATAGTCGACTAGTCACCGATTATTTTTGTGATTAGTCAACTAATCAGATCATGCATCCATTGTACGTAAAAAAAACCAGACAGTTTATTGCACCAGCATGCATCTGCTCGTATATAACTATCACTAGCTTATAGCTTGAAGTGTTTAAGGTATGTGCTAACTAAAAATAATGACAAGATGGTAATTAAATTTTAATGAAATATGCAGATTGTTTCCCTGGAGTTCAATAAACTCAGCCGATTTACTCAGGAACAAATAAAATACTGAAAAAAGCCAAATAATAACATTAAGTTATCTAAGTGACTTGTATATCATGTTTAACCTGAGTAGCGAAAGACAGCGGTGGGTTTGAAAATGATTTGCCCAGAGTCCGGTGTTCTCACCAGCTCTAGTTAGCCTTGCCCCCGGCTCGCTATCGAGCTGGTGGGTAACAGATGTCTCCGAAAACGTCGGAGCGCTTTTGAAAATATGTGGCGTCTTGATAAACTGAACAGATATTTGAAGTTTACACAGCTATATTCTCGCCTGAAAACACGTTAAACGTTAAAAGAATAATAAGAGTAGTATTAAAACTAACTAGCTACCGCCATTGTTGGAAACTGAGCTGGGCCGCGCTATGAATTCTGGGACACGGCTTCTTCTTCTTCTTCTTCGAGGTTTAACGGCAGCTGGCATCCTTGTACATGTAGTGCTGCCATCTTCTGTTTCAGTCCGTTATTACACTCTTAAATCCTACTATTTATTCCTGCGTCTTTTGGGATCTTACAAAGCTTCAAATGACTCGTCGACTATTAAATTAGTCGTCGACGATTTTGATAGTCGACGTAATCGTGACTAGTCGACTAATCCTGGCAGCCCTACTCAGAAGTAATTGGACGACTGCCTGAAACAGTTTCATTGCCAGGTGAGGGGTGTTCCCTCAAAGTATATCATTGTTGTTTTTTGTGATATTTTTTTTTCAGTGACCAGTAAAAGTCTGAGCCACTTAACCGGTTCTGTTATTGAATTATTATCATTAACATTAATTATTAACATGTGCTCAGGAAACAGACGTTCATTAACTTGAACTTGAATGACGGGAAGAGAAAAATATGGAGGAGGAGAAAAACGACTCAGGATCTGAACAAATAGCACATTGTCTGTCAACCGCAGTGGAAGCAGCATTATGACCTGGGCGCGTACGTCCGGGTCTTAGTCACCGGAACCAGCCCACTCACACTTATTGATGATGTGACTGCTGATAGAAGCAGCAGGATGAATTCAGATTCAGCCAAATGCTGCAAAACAAAACTGTCTTAAGAGCCTGAGTATGCTGCAAAAGCAGCCCGAGAGGTTCTCACAGCAAAGAAATGTGATGGTCTTAACCGCCAGGGCAGTCAGCTGATGTCACTGGAGGCAGAAGAAAGTAAAGATAGCTGCCGTGCCGGGCTCACGGAACATCTCAAGGAAGGAGACGCAGGATTTGGTGATGGCTGTGACTTTAAAGCTAAAAGTCGGCACTGCAATTATGTCTTGGTTGTTTTATTTAAAATCCAAGTTCCTGGTTCTGGCTGTAAAGCTGGATTTCTGAGCCTGGACTAACAGGAGCTCGTCAGGCGGTGTGTTTCTTGCGACGGGCCACAGCTTGGGCCAGAGAGACCACTTCTCTTTTTACTTTCTGAATATTAAAAACTGTGACGGGGAATCCTCAAGAGGCACCGAAGCGCTCAGTCATCTTTGCGTACTTTGATTTCACTCTAAAGCTCCAAGCTTGGTTAGAATTTGTAATCTATATGTGTGGTTTGTGTCTTCTTTCCATGCTGCAGGTTACAGCATGCGCGCTCTCAACAGCGTCCTCCGTCAAGAAATCATTCACAAACCCGTAGAAACACTGAAGCTGGCGATCCCCTCAGGGATCTACACACTGCAGAACAACCTGCTGTATGTCGCCCTCTCCAACCTGGACGCAGCCACCTACCAGGTAAGCAGCACGGCAGGTTAATCTGCGGGCCTCATGACCGCCGTGACGACCGGAGGATTGATCGCTTGTTCCTTTGTCTCCATCAGGTGACGTACCAGCTGAAGATCCTGACCACGGCCCTGTTCTCGGTGTCCATGCTGGGCCGCAGGCTGGGCGTGTACCAGTGGCTCTCGCTGCTGATTCTCATGGCTGGCGTGGCCCTCGTGCAGGTGCCGTGCATCTCGAATCACTGTTTCACCATTTCTTGAGACAATCAGCTTTTATTTGCTGTCTTAAAAAAGCTAAATGTGTAGAGATAGTCAGACATAAAACACAGGAATGAAAATGCACCTCTAAGGCTGAAGGAGGCGAGCTCAGAGATGTTTTGAGGCTGACAAAAAGACATTCAGGAAGTAAAATGGATTTGTGTATTCAAATCACAGTAAGCTACTTTACTTATGTTCACTCAGCTCAGAGAGAGACTGGAAAAAAGCAGTGTGTGCACGCAGATGACACTTTCGTCCCCTTTGTCTGCTGAGCATTTACTCACTGAGTGTGCTGTTTTTTTTGTTTTTTGTTTTATTTGTTCTGATATTTAAAGGCCAAATAAATAATGAGGCTTGTACTAGAAGACTGAGTAAATGTTGGCTGCTGATGAATGATGTGTCAGAGGAGGAATGACTGTTTTCATATCACCTCCTCCTCCTTGGCTAAACAAAGAAAATGGCAATCAGTTGGCTTTACACTTATTCTGAGAAATATTTAGCCGTGAACGGATCTGTTTGTCCAAGGTACGTGCAGGAGTGACCGTGGCTTATCAGCGGCACTCCACGAAGGCTCGCACTCACATCAGATATGATGCTAAAGAGCAACTGTTCTGTTTCCATCTCAGACCCTACAAACACACAGAAAACAGAGTCTGCAGAGAAACCCCGCTTCTGTTTCGCTGCTCGTTTCCAAGCTGGTGCTGTTACTTTTCACCCAGCGAGGTTTGTTGCGGAGCTGATGGTGCTGATGTTGGAGGAATATACCAAACAATAGCTTCACTTTGTCCTGAATCTTTATTTATCCAAAGATGAAAGTGTGAGATTTCTTCCTTTGCACATTCAAAGCTCAGCATCATCTTTTTTGTGCATTAATGCCTGTGTTTTCCTGCTTACTGCAGTACATCACACAAGAAGTCTCGCTCTGCAGCTTTTTCACAACGCAGCAAAGCTGTGACGATGCCGTGTCTGAATATTAGGTACCCGGCATGAGGGATTCAGTGAGACTTCACTGTGAATGATAATCATTACACAAAGTTCCAGTTTACTAAGTACATACGAGTTTCTCTGGAAGGCGCACGTTGTATCCGCTGGATGTTTCATTGGATGTAAAATACACAGCCCAGGTTTGTTTGTTTTCTCTGGACATCATCACGTCGAACCCTGTGACACACTGGATTGTGTAGCACTTATTATTTTTGTAGCATGTACTTTTATTCAGCAGGAGATGTGCAAGAGAAGAGAAGTCTGCTCCACGCAGTTATCATAGACTGTATCTAAATGATGGAGGAGGCCATAGCGGTGTTACGCATTGGCTCCTGTTTGGAAGCTTGGGTGACTGAATGTGGATGAGAGGTGTAAGTCATGAGCCAGGACCCACCTGCTAGTCAAAGTAACTGTGACCTTTAAACGGGTGAACCTGGATAAAGTGTACTTCAGTATTGAACCAATAAAGAAGCTTGTTTCTGCTTCCAAGACGGACGTTTCTCTCTGCAGTCACGTTTAGAGCCAGAGAGCTGGGGGTGAGATTTGGTCTGGTTCTGTCAAATTGGCCTCTGAGCATCTCTGACGCTGGCCTGTCAGTCTTTTAAAAACTAAAACCTAAAAGCTGCTGTGCTACAGGAACTCGAAACACACAAAGCACACTTTGGACTGTTTCGCCACATTTTGAGGTGGATAATCATTCCTTGAAATGTTTGTTGGGTTACGATTTAACTTCCTAATCGTACATGTGGGGAGAAGAAAGCTCGAAAGAGTTTTTTTCACCTGTTAAAATTTAAGGCTCTCCGGTTTGTGCTTGCAGTGGCCCTCTGACTCTGCCTCCGAGAAGGAGGCCCCGTCTGCTGGCTCCCAGTTCGTCGGCCTCGCCGCAGTGCTGGTGGCGTGCTTCTCCAGCGGCTTCGCTGGTGTCTACTTTGAGAAGATCTTGAAAGAGAGCAAACAGAGCGTGTGGGTCCGCAACATCCAGCTGGGTTGGTATCTATCACCAGGCAAATCAGTTGTGAACTGATATATACAGCCTGTATATGTTCTTGAAACGCAGTCCAGCGCAGTAAAAAGTATGAAAAATAAAGTGGAGGCCAGAAGAACAATGATCTGAGATGCTGTTGCTTAAAAGTGATAAATGGACCAGGAAGCTCCCATGTGTGCAGCGGTTCCTCGGGTCTTTGCTCGGGGAGCCAGCTGGGCTTTTTACCCTCCGATATGTTTCTGTTAGATGAATGTTCCTGTCTAGTTTATTTTTATCCTGGAACGTGTGAGTATGTGCTGAGTCTCCTGCGATTCCCACTGAGCTTACAGCATCTTCACCTGTGTTAAACCTCAGAGCCTCAGCAGCAGGAACAAGAAAGACGATCAAAAACGAGAATTTAATCATTAATTTAGGCCTGATTTTAGTGGAAATATTCTTGATATATTACTTAAATAATAGAAAACAGCAGTGTTGGGAATGTCGCTCTGAAGTGCTCCGTCCCTGCGTTTCAGGGATGTTCGGCCTGGTGTTCGGGCTCCTCGGGATGATGGCCTATGATGGGGAGCGAGTGAGGGAGTCTGGAATGTTTCAGGGATACAACACGGTCACCTGGACTGTTGTAGCACTGCAGGTAACTTTCACTCGCTGTGCTGTCGCGTATATTGTCGAACTTCTGGGCTAACAGACTGTTTAAAGCTGGGGCTCGGACTCCCCGCTGGCCCTACAGGTCATGCCTCTGTCCATCTGTGTCTCCGTGTTTGTTTTCTCTTCAGGCCCTGGGTGGTCTGGTCATAGCAGCGGTCATCAAGTACGCAGACAACATCCTCAAGGGCTTCGCTACGTCACTCTCCATCATCCTGTCAACGCTGATATCGTACTTCTTGCTGCAGGACTTTGACCCAACCAGGTAAAGAAAGCAGTCGCTATTTTTTTCTCTGTTTTTTCCTTTTCGCTTTTCTTTCTTTCAGCTCAATGAGTTTTCTGCTCTTGCCTGCAGTGTTTTCTTCCTCGGGGCCGTTTTAGTCATCGCGGCCACTTTCCTGTACGGCTACGAAGGCAAGCCTTCCCCCAATCCCAGCAGGGCGTAGGACACACGGCTGAAACTACAGCAGCTGCGGGAGGTCGTGAAGACACGAAGGGAAAGGAGGCCTGGACTGCCTTTATGTTTTCACATATAGTGTGAAAACATAACGGAGGATGTAAGCAGGTTTGGATCAGAGGAAGGTTTGTTTTGTTTTGTTTTTTAATTTTATAACAACGCTGTGACAAGTCTCACACCAAAAGTGCCTCAGCTGAGAAGGAGAAGCAAGGAGAGACGAAACCAGGAGGGCGTTTTACTTTTCTTCTGTGATTACAACAGCGCACATAATCCAGCGCCCGGTGAAGGGAAACTGGACCGACTGATTGTCTTCACCAGGAACTAGTTTGACTGCCTGTTAGTGTTACGGCCACATCAGTCACCCAGTGTAACAAAGGAGCAAAGAACCAGAGGGTGGGCCTTTCTAACTATTCTTCCAAGCCACATTTGCCACGTAGCCCAGTGGCTGCCGCCTTCACCTTGGGGTGTTTAACGCTCTAACAGGTACTCCTGTCCTGTTTAAGCTCAGAGTCAGAATGAGCTTCAGCTCTGAAACTACAACACCAAGCGGAGACGTTACACTGAATATTGGAAATCATGTTAATGTTTGGTGTAAGTATTTGCACTGTTGACATTTAAATCTATAAATTAATTGGCGGTTTAACTTATTCATTAGGCTTAGCTTAGTTTTCAGAACCACTGTTGACGGTTAGCGTGTCCTCTGCCTGTGTAACAGTGTCATTTGGTGATTTTTGTGGCGGAATAATCAGAATGTGGTCCAATGAAACTGAAGCTGGTTACATCATTTACAGAGAAAGTAACGTTTGATTTGATGATTTTTTTTTTTTTTTTTTTTTTCTGAAACTACTTTTTTTTTTGGGATAAAGCGGGTATAATTAAGAACTTTATTATTTTAATTACCAATATGTGAATCTTTTATAAAAAAAACATGCTTCCTTTGACTTATGTGCATGTGTCATTGTGTGTCTCCTCTTTGATCATTCTTACTTTACCACAACACACGGCATTTACATTTTCTACCCCAACACATAGACTGTATATAAAAGATGGATACCTGCTTTCAAATCTGATGTCATTGGCTGCATGGATGTCCAAATTATTTGGTTCCTGTGACATCGCTGAGGGTTAAAAAAACAAAGTATTTTATCCTCATTTTTTTTCCACAATTTTTTAATTTTTTGGAGCAATTCACATAAATGCATTTTCGCATCACATTTTCACAACTCACTCGGTGAGTCAATCTATTTCCTAACAATAAAAGATGCCCAAAAGTGCACCAAACTGCAGTCGAAAGTACCTCTGAGGTGATCCATTTGTTAATAACAACCACGAGGTTCGTCATGGATCTGCTGCGTAGTTTGGATGACGCGCTATTAGGGCTGCCACGATTAGTCGACTAGTTACGATTACATCGACTCTCAAAATTGTCTGACTAATTTAATAGTCGACGCAATATTTGAAGCTTTTGTAAGATCCTGAAAGACGCAGGAATAAGTAGTAGGATTTAAGAGTGACTGAAACAGAAGATGGCACCAATGCATCTACAAGGATGCCAGCTGCGGTTAAACGGCAAAGAAGAAGCAGTCTCAGGTATGGTAGCCGTGTCCAAATTCAGGGGCCGCATCCTTTGGAGACTGCATTTGTAGGCCGATTACATCACAGCGACGCAATGAAGGCTGTCCAAATTCGACAACGATGACAAATGCGTCCTCCCTTTTCCCCAGATTTACAGTTTTTTCTGAATGCTTAAACCCTAACTGTGATTCCTGTAGCACAATCTCTAAAACTATTCAGACTTATAGCAAAACCACTCACTGAGTTTGCAAAACTAAAAGCACAAAAACTGCTTTGCACTCAGTTTGCAATTTTGTAACACACACTTTGCAAAACTGTAGGCACAATTCACTGCACAACACTCAATTACCAAATTTCCAACACACTCCTAGCAAAAGTATACACATGTATGGCTATCATTAACACTAATTTGCCAACTGTCTGGCACACTTTCACATGTGAAAACTTTTTTAGATAATTAGTTCACTTTGCAATCAGCCTAAGCACTATAATACAGGTAAGCTGTGTGTGCGGAGTACAATGGAGGGAGCAGAAAGAGTGAGAAGTAGAGGAGGCCGAGGAAGAGGACATGGAGGTGAAGAAGTAGGATGAAGAGGACGACAAGGAGGAGCAAGAGGAAGACGAGGAGGGGGGCGAGGAAGACGAGGAGGGGGGAGAGGAAGGGTAGGAAGAGTAAGAAATAGAATTGCTGATGACATCAGAGCTACAATAGTGGACCATGTAATCAACCGTGGAATGACCCTGAGGGTAGCTGGCCAACGGGTCCAGCGTAACTCGAGCCGCTACACTGTAGCAAGTACCATAAGGACATCTTGAAATGAGAATCGCTTAGTACAGTCACTTCGCACAAAGATTTGTAGCACTGCCATATGCCAATGAGAAACACACCAATACCATTGATGTAAAAATACTGAAATTGTTACTTTACAGAATTGCTAGATGACCAGATGCTGGGGGCAGAGGAAGCATGTTCACTGCAGACAAAGTAACCCATATAGTCATTATGGCGATTGCAAATAATCCTATACTTGGAAATAAACACTTGTGTTTGTTTTGATGTGTTTGAATAAACACCAGTACTTGAAGTTTGGATCCCTCTATGCTTATGGATCTATGACAGAAGTATGAGCTCAAACTGACATAGCCTACCTTGTGCACAGAGAAAGCAAAAGCCAGATGTGTTTTGTATTCATACCATCAGTGTGCAGTTGGCGCATTGTGTGCTTAGTAGATGATGGCTTGTGTGTACTGTTTGATACGGAAACACCATTTTTACGAAGGTGTGAAGAGTTAATCTAGCTGTGTTTGCTTTTGCAAGAGAACTACAATGTTTTGATTATTGGGTGACAGGTTTTCTTATTTGTGTGAAGAGTTTTGCAAAATTAGCCAATAGTTACAAAAAATGTGCTTAAGCAATCAGAAAAAACTGTAAAGGATGGGTCGACCTATCTAGGGATGGGTATCATTTAGGTTTTATCCGATACCGGTGCCAAACTGTTACTTTTGAAACGGTGCCGGTGCTTAAACAGTGCTCGAACCAGTGCTTAAAGAATGGAGAACACAATCTTTGTCCAAAAACCTCTCATGTTCAGCTGTTTTTTTGTAAAAAGATAACAATGTTAGCCTTTTCTGCAGCTATAGGGGATTTATGGTATCACTCTTGGCTGGAAGCAGTGCTTAAACAATGGAAAAAACACAAACTTTGTCCAAAAACCTCTCATGTTTAGCTGTTTTCCACTTTTTCTTTGGTCATTTTAGCCTTTTTGGCCAGGGTGAAGGGAGTATCTGCCATCAAACAAGAAGACAGCCACATGTAACTACGACGGTGTTTGCTAGTTCACCTTACATGCATTAATGTAATAACGTGGTGAGCCTACTCAACAAATTACACACGAACAACATTAAGCTACTCACGCAGAGAAGAACGGCTGCTGCTGCCATCATCATCCGTCATCATTTCTGCTACACTGGCAGGGCTAGGGCCAGGACTCTCCTCTTCGGGTTCTTGGGGGATGTTGCTAACTCCGGGTCCGATAACAGGCACCACACCCGCAGTAGATGTGTGAGGGCTTGCAGCAAGCTATCAAATACAGCTTTTAAAAAGAACGCTATGCGTCGCCAGGTGTTTCATCAGATTCGAGGTGTTACCTCGTTTGCACAGTATCACCTTAAAGCACTTGTTGCAGGCTGCTGAGTTTGCATCTTTTGCTGTGAAGTACAGCCAGACTTTTGACCGCTTCACCTTGGGCATTTTTAATCTGTAGCTCTGCTCTAAAAGAACGTACGTATCTGGGCTCGCCTACTATCCTTGGTAAGGTAAAATTATTGGCTAGAATCCAAAGTGTATGATATCTCAGGAAAAAAAAGCACCGAAATGTGCGCTGCTTTTCGGTCTGGTTACTACAGTTTATGTCAGAACTGGTGCCATAATGGCACCGGATACTGGTACCCATCCCTAAACCTATCCCAGAATTCTATCCAGCCAATTCCAGTTTCTAACAATGACGGCAGCGACTTAATTTTAATATTAGTCTTTCCTGGTCACAAAATAAACTTTTAAGATATTTTCCGGCGAGGATGTAGCTGTGTAAACTTCAAATATCTGCTCAATTTATCAAGACATCACATATTTGCAAAAGTGCTCTGACATTTTCAGAGACGTCTGCTACCCACCAGCTCAATAGATGACCGGGAGGTGAAGGCTCACTAGAGCGTCCGATGGATGCATGATCTGATTAGTCGACTAATCGCACAAATAATCGGTGACTATCAAAATAATCGTTTGTGGCAGCCCTACTTGCTATTGAAAATTGACCCTAAGCTTCATGTTCCCAAATCTTAGTCGGGCTGGAAGTGATTCCCTTATGAAGCATTCAATTTTTCTTTGTCTAGCAAAGATGTGCTCTACACATGTGAACAGCACTAATAAAAAGTCAGAGAGGTTGACAGTGACCACTGATTGCTCGGTAGGAGTTATTGCTTTTTAGAAACTAGAGCAGCTTTTTTCTAACGCAGTTAAAAAGATAAATGCTTTAAGATCCTGACTGATAATTGACCAAATAAAAATCAATTTGTGTTCAATAAGATGTGAAACTATGATCAGAAGTTATAAACCCATCTGGAAAAGAGCTGAAAGGTTGTTTTCCCAGTAGATTTTTATACAAGTATCTTATAATCACTAAAGTCGCCTCCTGCTGGTGGTTACAGAGAACGCAGCTACAGAGCCAGCTCGTCCATCTTTTACCTACAGTCTGTGAATGTACCATGGGGACATTGCAGCCTCTTATACCCATGTAAAAATGTTACACTGTACCTGGGCTGTGGAGCGACAAAGAGGACTAAGTTCACACTTTATTTTTGGCATTTGTTTTAATGAGTTTAAAAACACTGCATGCAAAAGCCAGACAGTCTGAGAGAAAGGACTGTACGTCCTCCACATTAAAACACTGTAAAACACCGTCAGCCTGTCGCTTTCAGACAATCTAACGTCGACCGGCAGGACAAGTAGGAATAACAAGTCAGATTCACACGAAGGGCCGTGCAGCACTCTGCTCCGAGCCCACAGGCACGGCTGTTAACTGTAAAAGACACTTGAGGCCCGGATGCACTTTGACGGCAGACTGTGTGACCCTCACGGTGAAGTAAAAATGTATTTTTAATTAACACGTTATTTTAATCGGGGCATGTGGGGGGGGGAAAAGTTCCCCACTATAAAAGCATCAGTTCTCTGCGCAAAGTTTCAGTCCAATAACGATCACCTTCTAAGTTGTCCCATCGGAAGTGCTGCTCGTGATTGTCGGCTTGGCCTCACAAACTGCCCCTGCGTCATAGCTACAATAATCAGGGTGTTAAACTATCTCTTTGTCCACATCGCTGTGTGGTTAGTGTGTGTTAAGTTTTGCAGTAAGCCGGCAGAACAGTCCTTCCTGGTGATCCTGGCTCTGTTGTTGTTCTATATGAGGTGTGTGTGTGTATGTGAAGGCTTGTTCGGTTCGCACCAAGAGTAATGAGCAGCATCAGCAAGATAATGTGGTTACATCATCCATCTCTCTTCATCTCTGTCTCATCTGGACCAGTTCAGCAGAAGCCTTTTTTTTTTCAGTCCCACTGAGGCCGGATGAGCAGATCTACAGCAAATGCACCGCCTGGAAAATCATCAGAAGCAGCGTAGAGGTTTCTGGTTTGGGGCACCGTTTCACCTCCTTCTAAGGTGCGCGGAGGAGAGGAAAAAGCCTGAAGAGATCAAACCTCCTGCAGCACCGACAGTATACAGAGTAACTGTAAGGCTAGACAAGCGCATTTGTGGCTCGCAGCATTCATCGGGGTCATCATAAAACATATTACAGA